CGTAGGCAATATTGCAGAGCAGCTAGTTTTTATTATGGTAACAGCTTTAATCTTGCTCTTATCCAATCGGAATTGGTTTTGCTGGCAGCGTCGAGTCAGATTAGCACATGTTGCATGGTTTGTGGATAAATGTGGCCGAATACAATTGCTTTGCGACCACGTTGGTTGTTTCTGATTAGGCTGTTCCATGGGCCATTGTCACTTAAAGGGTCATTCCACCCAAAAACTGATATAGATAACGGCGAATTTGTCCAGCTAGCCGTTTATTGTGTCCTTCAAGGACTCCGTCGATCTTGGCGCTTAAGTTCCTTGGTCTGGGTACCTGCTGCAGCCATTAAAGTGAATCCCCTTCTCCCTGTTGGGTTGCTTATACTTTGGAGTACAAGGATGATGGTGGGATCCTTCAAGGTGGAAAGGAACATGATTTGGGAGGTCTTGCTGCTCAAGTCCCATAGATGTAAAATAAGCCGCCTGGTTGTCTAAACTCCACCTGTGATGTGGAATGACCCTTAAGCAGAACTACGCTTCATGGTTTAGGTGAGAAGGGAAGTGAATTTCGTGTGCACATATGGGAACAGCAACACAGACATAATGCAAAAGTTTATGGGACCACCTGCCCCTGTGATACCTTCTGATCAAACCCTTGGAAATGAGAGGCCTCCTTCACATGGACGCCCTCGTGGGCCAATAGGCAGGTGCAGTAGGTGGCGGGAGAAGCTGAAGTTCCATATTAAACTTCTCCAGGATCTATGACTTGGATACTGTTACACAAGGAGCCTTTTATGTTCCATTCAGTGGCTCGATAACGCAGTTGGGTGGAACAGGGGCGTTGAGTCATATTTGCACACGAGTCTCTCCTCCCTTCCTTCATGCAAGATCAGCAAATCTGTCTTGTATGGAAGACATGAACTATAATTTGGGGTTACTGGGTGGTGGACCGGACCACAAGACGCTGAATCTTGGCAGTCCCGCGTTGCAATTATTTCAAAGATCCGATATCAACCGAGTCCTTGTTACCCAATTATGCCAATCTATAGTCCTGTACGTTTTAAAGCCGGACTCCAGGTATAATCATAATCTTGCTTTCTCAGTCGTATGCCTCACATATATGTCCTGTTTACGCTGGCCACACACCTAGAAATTGTCCTCATTTTACTTTGATAAACTGCGACATAAATAGATTTTTCTTTGCCTGGATTCCAGCTTTCTGCTTTGCTTGCAGCTTGCGTGTAGCTGTGTAAGGCCTTGTTCACACCAAGCGCGGAGCAGATCCAGAGCAGAGCAGGTACAGAACGGATCAAAACGGCGTCCAATGTATTCCAATGGTATTTTTTGCTCCAGTTCACATTGCAGCGTGCAGTTGCAGAGCAGATCCAGAGCAGGTGAAAAAACTGCAGCAGGCCCTATTTTACCTGCTCTGGAACGCATCAAAAACTAATGCAAATGCCTGGAACCCACTGAAAGCCCATTTTAAACTTTAAAAAAAAATGTATTTTTTTTTTAAAAGAGCCCAAAACGCGTCTAAAAGACTAGCATGCGTGTGCAGAAACCTGACCGGATCTGCTCTGCATTTGGTGTGAACAAGGCCTGAGCTAATGAGGCATTTGTTTAACTTTTGCTATATGCATATAATGAAAGCCAGTCTTTGCTGGGATTTGTAGAAATCGGAACATTCAGTCTTGAATTATAATTATTCAGGCCTACATATTAAATATTTATATTTACCTTTTAAGGCCCCTTTCACGCGGGAGGTCCGATCAGGTCTGCCTGTCAGTTTTTCTGGCGGACCCGATCAGATGCCCAATACTAGTCTATGGGTAGCCACGTGTAAACAGGTGGGCGTCTGTTTGCACCCGGTTAACCCGACTCCGACCTGCTCTGTAAAAAGAAATGGAACAGAGTTGCGTTTCGATGGACCTGATTGTGCCGGATCGGGGGAAATCTGATGTAAAAGGACACGTGTCCATTTACATCCGATTCCCCATAGACCGGCATGGGGTCCGGGCACTTCAGTGAAAAACTGGACGGACGCGGATGTCACAGCAGTGACATCCCATTCTGTACTGCTCAGATCAGGAGGGGATCCTGCCTGACCTCACATTGCACAGTATGCAAGTCCAGGCAGTTGAGAAGGACAGTCACTGTCCGAATTTAGGTAGGTTCTGAACCAATGACATTCGAGATACCACGGCATATGAAATACAACTAAATAGGGGGGCACATAGAAATATGTCACAAGTGATCCTGCCCAGTTATAGTTTTAGATCCCGTATTCCGATTTGTGCATAAGCCCAGCTGTGACTGGTTCTCTTTAACAGAGGAAAGGGCACATGCTTACTGAACGGTTACATTTGAGAGCACCGTGGAGTCGGTGGCGTATTTTGAAGACCTCTTCCACCTGAAATCTTCTGCTGCCTGTGCAAGTATTTTAACTTTTTGTTGGTGATCTGAGAATCCCTGCTTTTGGTGTAGGATAGCTGTTCTTGAACGCGCCCACTGCAGCCGGCTTGTGGTTCCTGACGTACCAAAATTCATTGCTAAGAGGCATCTCACAGCCACCATTTAGATTCAGACCTGCCCTTGAAGCCTACATGTGATTTGTGATGCAGTAAGAAGTTACACATTGCAGACTTCAAGAATTGAACTGCCTTGTGATGATCTCTCTGCATTCTTGCTGCAAACAGGAACCAAAATCACATTCAAGTTATTTCTCATTTTGGGGAACGCAGCAGAATGAGTGGAACACAGAGGACGGAGCTGGGAGTTTCGGAATGGAGACCACGGGTCAATGTTCTTGCTGATTGTGAAAAGGTTCTCTTCCTTCAGTGTGGTCTCCAGGACAGGAAGTGAGGAGAAAGCATCCCTAGCTGGGAGTATGATGATAGAACCCTGACAGAGGCTCTAACACAGCGTTCAGCAACCTTTTCCTATAAGTGTTAAGGAGTAGACAACAGCTGTGTCACTAAACAATAGTGTGCCATAGACTTCCGATCAACCCCACCTTCACCCCTCAGATATGCCCCCAATTCCTGCACCTTCACCCCTAAGATCAGCCCCAATTCCTGCACCTTCACCCCTCAGATCAGCCCCAATTCCTGCACCTTCACCCCTCAGATCAGCCCCAATTCCTGCACCTTCACACCTCAGATCAGCCCCAATTCCTGCACCTTCACACCTCAGATCTGCCCCCAATTCCTGCACCTTCACACCTCAGATCTGCCCCCAATTCCTGCACCTCCACCCCTCAGATCAGGCCCAATTCCTGCACCTCCACCCCTCAGATCAGGCCCAATTCCTGCACCTTCACCCCTCGGATCAGGCCCAATTCCTGCACCTTCACCCCTCAGATCTGCCCCCAATTCCTGCACCTCCACCCCTCAGATCAGGCCCAATTCCTGCACCTTCACCCCTCGGATCAGGCCCAATTCCTGCACCTTCACCCCTCGGATCAGGCCCAATTCCTGCACCTTCACCCCTCGGATCAGGCCCAATTCCTGCACCTTCACCCCTCGGATCAGGCCCAATTCCTGCACCTTCACCCCTCGGATCAGGCCCAATTCCTGCACCTTCACCCCTCGGATCAGGCCCAATTCCTGCACCTTCACCCCTCGGATCAGGCCCAATTCCTGCACCTTCACCCCTCGGATCAGGCCCAATTCCTGCACCTTCACCCCTCGGATCAGGCCCAATTCCTGCACCTTCACCCCTCGGATCAGGCCCAATTCCTGCACCTTCACCCCTCGGATCAGGCCCAATTCCTGCACCTTCACCCCTCGGATCAGGCCCAATTCCTGCACCTTCACCCCTCGGATCAGGCCCAATTCCTGCACCTTCACCCCTCGGATCAGGCCCAATTCCTGCACCTTCACCCCTCGGATCAGGCCCAATTCCTGCACCTTCACCCCTCGGATCAGGCCCAATTCCTGCACCTTCACCCCTCGGATCAGGCCCAATTCCTGCACCTTCACCCCTCGGATCAGGCCCAATTCCTGCACCTTCACCCCTCGGATCAGGCCCAATTCCTGCACCTTCACCCCTCGGATCAGGCCCAATTCCTGCACCTTCACCCCTCGGATCAGGCCCAATTCCTGCACCTTCACCCCTCGGATCAGGCCCAATTCCTGCACCTTCACCCCTCGGATCAGGCCCAATTCCTGCACCTTCACCCCTCGGATCAGGCCCAATTCCTGCACCTTCACCCCTCGGATCAGGCCCAATTCCTGCACCTTCACCCCTCGGATCAGGCCCAATTCCTGCACCTTCACCCCTCGGATCAGGCCCAATTCCTGCACCTTCACCCCTCGGATCAGGCCCAATTCCTGCACCTTCACCCCTCGGATCAGGCCCAATTCCTGCACCTTCACCCCTCGGATCAGGCCCAATTCCTGCACCTTCACCCCTCGGATCAGGCCCAATTCCTGCACCTTCACCCCTCGGATCAGGCCCAATTCCTGCCCCTTCACCCCTCAGATCAGCCCCAATTCCTGCACCATCACCCCCCAGATCGCCCCAATTCCTGCACCTTTACACCTCAGATCAGCCCCAATTCCTGCACCATCACCCCCCAGATCGCCCCAATTCCTGCACCTTTACACCTCAGATCAGCCCCAATTCCTGCACCATCACCCCTCAGATCAGCCCCAATTCCTGCACCTTCACCCCTCAGATCAGCCCCAATTCCTGCACCTTCACCCCTCAGATCACCCCAATTCCTGCACCTTCACACCTCAGATCAGACCCAATTCCTGCACCTTCACCCCTCAGATCAGACCCAATTCATGCACCTTGTCCTGGTGATCTCAATGGAAGTGGAGTCACATCTCTCCAGTGAGGACAGAGACTTCAATAAAACTCTAGTTTCTAAACTCCCCGCTCTGTGCAGAACTAGGAAAGTGTTTTGGTTGCAGTTGATCTGCCGTGCTTGTATCTGATCACTTGTAGATAATTGCACATTGTGGCGTTAGTCACTTTATAAGACGTTTCATCTCTTTCTATTGCAGGAGGACTCTGCGGGTGACAGCTGGCTGCTTCACGGGCACAGAACCCTTGGCACAGAGATGGTGTTGAAAAAGGTACAGTAGTGCAAACTCCCTCTTTGTCATTTTGGACCACGATTGTTCTGAAGTCCATGATAACACCTGGGTGGGGCTGATTACACTAAGCTGGTAATACACTGTGTGAATTTCGAATGCACACTGATTTCTGGCACCTGGGACCTTCCAGAGACTGGCGGCATCTGTGCACATGTGTGAGAGTCTCCTGCACGTCTGCAGATCTTCGCTAGGTCCCGAATACCTGGCAGAGACCTGAAGCACATCTGCGCATGCTCAGAATCTCCGGACACACTGCCTCCTGGGATATGACGTGGCTTATCCCAGGAAGCATTGGGGCATACATATGTCATTTTCCCCTCGGTGAATGATCCAGAAGTGCTGCAGTCCATCAAAAAATAAAAAGTACTATTATTTAAAGAATAATTGTTATCAATTCTGAGGGAGGGGGAAAGGAATCGGGAGATGTGTACTTTTTAAATGGGAGAAAGTCTGCATTAAGTTCTAGTTGTTGACATTTGTTGTGTGATGATTAACATGGCTGCCCCTTCGCCCTCAGCCCAGCGTCACATACCAGGCAATCAGCAAACGGCTTAAAGTATCAGAAGAGGTAAGAGGCTTTTACTGCGATTTTATTTCCTTTTGCTGGTTTGGTTTAGTCTCATCTGATGCTACAGATCAATACCATTTCTTTTTGTTCTGTGTACAGGACACTGGCTCGACGTCGATCCAAGCAGCAGATAGCACAGCCATCAACGGCAGTATCACACCCACAGATAAAAAGTAGGTTTCCTGCCAACACTGCCCTGGCACTTCACCAATCTCTAGGCTGCTCAGTATGTGCACTAGCATTGCTTAGTGACTGTCTATGGGTTTTAGCTTCTAGGATGACTAAAGCTGGCTATACAATGAAGGCACGTTCACATCTCAGCATAGCGTTAACCACACAATTCCACGCGATAATTGCACGGTTTTGCGCAACGCGCTTAGCACACGTTATGTTGACATGCATTTGAATGGCACCTCAAAGCACCCCCGGGCTGCTGTGCAGTGCAACATGCAATACTGCATAACCATGCATTTCAGTGCATCGGGGGGGCCATTCAAATAAAATCGTAACACGTACAACATTAATTTAGGACTTCCCTCAGCTCTGCAATGCCTATTGCTGCTCTGATCTGGTACTCCAGCTGAGTGACTGTAGGGAGACAGAAGCAAAACAAGCTACTGAGAGAGTGTTTTTGCTGTCAAATTAGAGGAAGAATTGCTCCATGGTTCCTGCAGCTACAGAGGTCAATGAAGGCTTGCTTTGAAGCTAATTTACTGATAAGAATGTGGAAACATTTGAATGTCCATAGCCTGACTCAATTTAAACATTCACTTTCCCAGATTACAACTTCCAGGCCGATATTATGTCAACCTGTATTCTCTTATCTTTGTCCAGGATTGGCTTTTTGGGCTTAGGGTTGATGGGAAGTGGTATAGTCTCCAACCTACTGAAAATGGGACACACGGTGACGGTGTGGAATAGGACGGCAGAGAAGGTAATGACCCTGGAATAGGCTGTGACTGGTTTATTTTATTTCTGTATTTAAAGTGAACCTGTCTGGCTGTTAACCTAACAGTCCTGCCTAAGGGTGAGGGGTTTTGCTATGACGATTATTAACTTGGAAGCACATTTCTGTGCACAGAAAGAGTGAGAGGTCCGCGTGTGGCCCTCTAAACACCAGTGACATGCCTGGCTTAGATGACGAGGGACCAGCTTTGTAGTCCCAGGGACGCCCGTCTTTAGATAGCATTGCAGCTGCACATAGCAAGGAATAGACGGCAAGGGAGAACTTGTGAACCAGACTAAGCAGTAGATCTAGGTGACAGAGAAGCTTTTATGTTCTTGCCATACAAATTAAACTTTTCCTGTGGCCCAGATTTCTGCTTCAATTTAATGTTAATATTTAATGATCATTTTTAGTTATGTTTGAGTTTAGTCCAGCTCGCAAGTCCTCCCTTGCTGTCCCTTGCTATGTGCAGCTGCAATGCTATCTAAAGACGGTCATGTCTGGGACTACAGGGCTGGCCCCCTGTCATCTATGCCAGGCATGTCACTGATGTTTTAGAGGGCCGCATTTGTCCCTATCGATCTTTCTCTGTGGTCTTTAGTGGTTTAAGTATAAAATAAAAATGGATACACCTCCAGCTGATAAGTGGAACCTTCTTGCCTAATTTTGCACCTAAATAACATAGGCAAGTGTTCTCTGGAATGAAATCAAGTTAGTTGCAATTGTTTCTGTAATGTTACGTTCTGAAGTTACATAATCTTTCTCTGGAATTTGGAAGGTGCGGCCCATGCAAAATAAAGCAACAAGTTCACTTTTTAATGCCCCCTCCTCAGGTGCACTTAGAAGAACCTGTGTAAGATCCCAGTCACTCTTCTTACAGCTCACACAGGGCTGAGGACTCCCCGAATTGTTGTTAGACAGTGTGTGCCCTCTAAGACACGTAGGTATAACATACAGAGCACGGGTGTTTAAGCTAAAATCAGAGATTGCCCTAAAACACTATGAAGTCAAGAATAGTAACGCCAGAACATCTAAATTAGGGTTGCACAGATACCAAGTACAGTACTCGGTACAAGTACAAGTACATGCACCGATACTTTTGAGCTCCAAGACTACACTAGAGAAAAATTCAAAAATTAGGAGGCAGCTGTCAGAGGCAACTGTCATTTGTAAGGAGCACACGGAGCTCCTGGGATTTGTACATCTCTGTTTTAATGTACGATTTTGTTTTTATAAATAAAGGGATGCACAGATACCAGTTTTGCGAGTACGAGTACTGGTACTTGCCGAGTACGTGCAAGTACGAGTACTGATACATTTTTGTTTATTGTCATGTGACAGTTTTTCTAAAACAATACAGACTAATGATTTCAGGACAGCGGTGGAGTGCTAGAGCCAGGTCCCAGGTGCAACCCCTGAAACCCTGGTAGTTCTCATGAAAATGAAAAGTATCTGCACTGGTACTCGAAAAGTATCTGTGCATCCCTAATCTAAATAGCTTTTAAATGATCATATTTTCAATGTAGCAAGTGATAAAAGCATGACAATTGACGACATCAGGACCACTATACATAAGGCAACTACAGAAAGTTATAAATTCATCATACATCATTCAATATATGATCGCTGGAGGTTTAAACAAGGAACATAGCAATACATGCAGAAGACAAAGTCAGATAGCAAAACGTGGACACCCAGTGTAGCTAGAGGTAGGGGCTGAGGGTGACGTTTCAGAGCATAATGCCTTTGCTGAGTCAAATCCTACCTGATGCACTGTGTTACCCAAGTGTGTATATATACATGTGCCATACAATAAAGAAACTCAATGTGTTCCCCGCTGGCCAGCCACATGACGTCACAACAGGTGCTGATGTCGGTGCCCATGTGATGTCACTTGGTCCATCCTTTTACCAATTTACATCCTGTTTTGCGAAAATAGCATGGTTTTTGCATGGTTCACCAGAGACTAGTGTATGCATGACGGTATTTGGATACCCCCAGGACTTAAAGCCTGGTGCTATATTAGCAGACCTGGGGATGCTCCCCAGCAACCCCAGAGAGGGAGCTGCCGGCCTAAGGAGGCTGAACAGCATGCTACAGAGAGGTGAGAGTCAGCATAGGAGCACTTCTTGCACTCCTAACGGTTTCCCAGTCCATTGTACATAATTGTACTGCTTATATCACTTGCTACCTTGCATGTATTTTCTTAGGATACAGTCAGTGAACCCAAAACCGCTTTCTCCAAGTAGTAGAATAGGGTGCTGCTGCTGTCGACAGCTGGCAACCATCACGAACAAAGTAAGAAGTGGGCCGCGGGCACTCCAATTGCAATTTATAAAAGTCTGTTTAATGACGTAAATGCAGCATAAATTCACTCCGTGCAACGTTTCGGGGTCTCAAAGGATCCCCTTCATCTGGCAGAATAAGTTCACTTCACAAGTTCATACTTATGAAGGGGATCCTTTGAGACCCCAAAACGTTGCACGCAGTGTATTTATGCTGCATTTATGTATTTTCTCAGTTCCCGGGGGCTGAACAGATCAGTGGAGGAAATAAGAAATGTTTCATGCTGCGTGGGCAGAGCACAGGTACCAAAACCCAAGTGTATGCACACAGCTCAGAACAGCAATACGTTAAATGTCCGTGTAGATGCAGATGTTGAAGCTTGCTTTGCTTTGTCTCATTATTTTCTCTTCTTGCAGTGTGACTTGTTTGTCCAAGAGGGGGCACAATTAGGCAGAACTCCGGCAGAAGTGGTCTCCACATGCGACATTACGTTTTCATGTGTGGCAGATCCTAAAGCAGCAAAAGATGTAAGTTTTGGAAGTTGAGTTTGTCGACTTACCCACTGACTTGGGATGTACGCACATTTTGCATAATAAGTGAATAAAATAATTAGGGATGCACTGATACCTAGTATTTGGGCGAGTACTCGTACCCGCCCAAATGCTCCGATACGTATCCCGATACCGGAACTTCCAGTCAGAGGGAGAATTTCTCTGACCGGCAGTGCCGTGAGGGAACATGGAGCAGCCAATCAGGAAGTTGAGCCTCGGGTAATGACTCGCGGCCTGGGTTTCTGAATGGCTCCATGCGGTTTGGCTAGCTCCATGCTGATTGGCCGGAAAGGCTGCTTACCAGCCAATCAGCATCCAGCCGGCCAAACAGCATGGACCCGGCTTTCCGGCCAATCGGGGAGCTGGGCCGCGGGTAATGCCCCAACTGGCTCGATGCTGATTGGCCAATAAACATGCAGCTGACCAAATAGCATGGAGCTGGCTTCCTGGGCAATCCAAAAGCTGGGCAACGTGTAATGACAAGCTGCCTGGCTTCTTGATTGCCCGGGAAGCCGGCTCCATGCTGCTGGCAGTACCGAAATATAAAAATCGGTACTCGTACTCGATGCTGAAAAACCGGTATCGGTACATCCCTAAAAATAATGCAGCAGGGAGAGGGGAATGGTTATAATTGCACATTAAAGACTAGTGATGGTGGGGGAGTGCAAACAGGACTGGAGAGGTGTATTTAGGACAGTTAAATACTATTCTTTAAGGCTGACCTCCATCTTTCCCTCCAGTCTTGCACAGTTGTAGCGGCTCCTCTCCTGAAATGGCTTACTCTGATTTCTCTGCACACTGTGAATGTCTCACAATGTGCATTACAAGCTGCAGCAAGTCAGATAGAACCCACCTCATTTTCTGGCTGAAGGAAGTCCAGCATCATCTAGGTCTTTCCCCGGTAGCCTTACCATCCGTGGCCCACACATTTCAGTCATTGAATTACAGATCTTTCAATCATAAGAGGCTTAGTTTAGGTACTCCCACTGCTCCAGACTGACATCCACCAATCATAGTATTTTGATATTTGCATAGCTCCTGCTTATATCTGGGCGCACTGAGGCATGGTGCCATGATGTTCTCAGGAAGCCATCTACAGCACCCTCCTGGCCCCTCTCACCAGCCATGATGGGCCTGCATTGCATAGAAAAGCACATCACTAGGTCTAAATTGACGTTTTATTACACATTATTCAGCATGTTGCTGATGAAATGAGCAGCCAGGTGAGGCAAAATATAAGCAGATTAAACTTCAGATTTAAATGCTTTTGTAGGGAGCAGACAGACGAATGAAGAACAAATTGCTGTGGGTTATTGGGTCTTCCACATTTCTCCTTCCGTCACTGTATAAGCCTGATAATAGTAGAAGCCGTATGACAAGTGAACCAGGGTTCAAGTAAGAGTTGCTTTTTTCTTTAATCAATATAACATGACCTTAATGTTTTTTGTTTCTCTTCTTTAGTTGGTGTTAGGACCCAGCGGGGTGCTGCAAGGCATCCGTCCAGGAAAATGTTACGTTGATATGTCCACTGTGGATGCAGAAACAGTCGTCGAACTTGCACAGGTATCATTTGTAGCATCGCTGAGCTGATCTTCTTTTTATTTGGTGTCAGTTTAATCCTTTTGGATAAACTAGGAAGGTGTTCTGACTTCTGTCACATTTTTATCCTCTATTTTGTATTGAGATTGTAGTCCATCCAGGGAGTGAGCTTGGAGCGGTGACTACTGTACAACACACACAGGGACCATGGGGAACAAAAGTAGCCCCCCTCCAGAAGGAAGGACAGTGTCAGCACCAATTCAGAGATGATTTGAGGATTTACAGCCGAGTGATACACAAATAAGATACATTTTTGTTAGTAGTTAAAAACTCCTGAGATTAGTGTCACTTTATTGCTAGTTTCAATGAGAACAGAGAGCCCGTCATATGGGCCTTTTCGGGTTTTTACTGCAGAGTGTGTTCCTATTGACAGTTGGGTCTAATCTAAACAGATTCCTCCATCTAAGCTAAACTGTGTGTATGGAGGAATCTCCCACTGGGCCAAGCTTCAGTATCTTGCTAGTCTGCCCTACCGGCTCTCAAAACACCTGAACAATGAGATTGGATGCAGGCATTGTTCAGGTATTTGACAGCTAGCGGGGCCGACTAGCAAGATACTGAAGCTCTGCCCAGTGGGAGATTCCTCCAAAAAAATAGTGTAGAGTAGATGGAGGAATCTGTTGCACTTTTTCCATCTGACCATAGAAACTCTGCAGATAATCTATAGGTGTATGGCCAGCTTTAGAGACTGCATTTATCAGGTGCCTTGACTTGGCAGTGTGGCTTCTACTTGTACTTGCAAATGTATGTAACTAAGACATCTCTCTTTAATCTGAATAGTTGAAACAGATTAGTTATTTTGCTGGCTAGCATAAAAGTGTGCTAGGGACGCCCTTTTTTTTTTTTTGCTGTTTTGCAATCAAAACCAGACAGATATTCTAACTTCCCAAAATGTAGAATAAGATTTTCGCTGGAGGTCCCCTTTGAGGCTCAGTGTAGCCTTTGTGTGCCCTCCAGGCAGCATTAGATCATTTCTTGGTGTCTGACTGTCATCTTCTCTGTTGGCTTTTGTTACGTCTTGTCCAACGTGTAGTATTAATCGTACACACTGTTACCTTCCTCTGTTCTTCCTCATTCAGGTTATCGTATCTCGAGGTGGCCGTTTCCTAGAGGCTCCAGTGTCTGGTAACCAGCAGTTGTCCAATGATGGGATGTTGATGATCTTAGCAGCGGGTGATCAAGGTGTATATGAAGACTGCAGCAGCTGTTTCCAAGCCATGGGCAAGACCTCATTCTTTCTCGGTAAAGTCAAAGGTTGCAATTTACATGTTAAATGGTTGAACTAACGAAATGTGGTACTTCAGCTTTTGATGGAGTCTGGCAGAGATTTCTTGGTGGGGAGGGGAGTGGTGCATTCACTAATGGAAAGCCCACTAATGGCCACAGGAGATGTGTAGGCCTGGGGATTCCAATACAGAGACCTCATCATCATGGATACCTAGAAAGATTTGATAAAGTGTATATCCAGCTTAAAAGAGAACTATGGGGTAAGTGTTTTTCTCCATAGTTCTCTTAGGGGTCAGGGGAGGACATTATACCAACGTCCTCCTGTGATCCAAAGCTCAGTATATAGCGAGCTACAGCTCGGGGTATACTGAGACCGCCGCAGCCAGGACGGATCCTGACATTACTGTTGCGATCCGCCCAGCTGCGTGAGTGACAGCTGGCTCTGCCTATCTAGAGGCAAAGCCAGCTGTGCCCTCCCCCGAACGTTCCACCAGTCAGCGCTGGCGGACAGGGGAGGGGGGAATCCCTGCAGGGAGCCGTGAGTGACAGTCACTGCTCTCTGCAGGGAGATGATTGAAAAATGAGCGAGCGACGGTATGTGTTGACTCACTTCCCGATCTATTGAGCTGACGTGTGACCGTTTCATTGTCGCACGTCGGCTAGAACTATGAGGATGAGAGGAAATCATTCACCTCATAGTTCTCCTTTTAAACCTTTTTATTGATAGATGTCCTTCAAATGACAAGCACTTTCGGCGCCACACAGGATCCCCTTCATCAGACTCCGAGATGACAATATATGATGGAACCACAACCTTTATATAAACATATACTAGTGAAGACAACCATATACCGCTCCCACACCCTCTGACATCACAATGACGTCATATTCCCCACCATTAATGATGTCCGAGGGTGTGGGAGCGGTATATGGTTGTCTTCACTAGTGTATGTTTATATAAAGGTTGTGGTTCCATCATATGTTGTCATCTCTCATCAGCCTGATGAAGGGGACCCTGCGTGACCCCGAAAGCGCTTGTCATTTGAATGACATCTATCAATAAAATGGATTTGCGCTGGTGACATCTTTATTCAAGTTTCACGGTGAGTGGCGTCATCCGCAGTCATTATGAGCACCCGATACCCTTGGGAGATCCAATACGGAGTGCTGCAAGATATATTGGCACGGAATATCCAAAATGTTACAGTTGTCACCAGTACAAAGAGATAATGAAGTCCAATGAGAGCGCCAAACAAGACCATACAAGAGTTCAAAATCTTTTAATAGAACATGCTACTTCAAGGATTCCACATACCCATTGTTGTGTCTCTTGTAGGGGAAGTGGGAAACGCAGCCAGAATGATGCTGATTCTGAACATGATCCAGGGCAGTTTTATGGCAACGATAGCGGAAGGAATGACATTGGCCCAGGTGACCGGTCAATCTCAACAGACTCTGCTGGACATCCTGAATCAGGGGCAGCTTGCCAATATTTTCGTGGACCAAAAGTGCCAAAGTAAGGACTTTGTGTATGGTTTTGACCTTTGCCCTGGGTGTGTTTTTGCTGTATTGTTTGTATCCTTCAGGAGTGTTTGTTGTCATGGCACGGCGCCATTTTTTACCTGCATTTCTGAGGGATCGTATAATCAGCACATCCGTACAGTTGGTTCCAGTATCTCTAATCTCTCCGTTCCCCCTCTGCCCACCCAGATATCCTACAGGGGAATTTCAAGCCAGACTTTTATCTGAAATACATCCAGAAAGACCTGAGGCTAGCCATCGCCCTCGGAGACTCTGTGAACCACCCAACTCCTATGGCCGCTGCAGCCAATGAGGTAACTTGTTTCATTATCATTGTATTGCAGTTCTTCCATTCTGACTACAAGGGGCCCCACAAAGTGCGTTTTCTTTACCTCTTTTCCCAGGAAAAGCCCCCAATCTGAGAATACTCTCACCTTGCTATAGAGGCTTCTAATTGACTTTGGGCCTAAGTCTCACTCACTCTCTGACCCCATTTCAAATGTTGGTAATGAATTTGTCAATGAGGCAGACTCGTTTTATAGAGATTATTGTGTAGCTGGGGTTTATTTATCGCAGGGGGGCTGGGCTTAATAAAACCATTCAGGTATTGGCTTTTGTAAGAATCTAAATCTCCTCATAGGTGTTGTACAAACAGTGCAACCTCTCAGGGATTGATGTTTGTGCTGTTGGTTCCTATATTCTCTCCCTGTCAGAGCAGATATGTCTGCTCGATGTCAGGCTGTAAGACCCCCAAGTAGGCTTGCCTGTCTCCTGACTGAGCTGAGGGCTGATAATTGTCACTTTGTCTGGACTGCTGAAAATAGAGTGAAACTGCCAATTGACAAAACCTTAAAATGTATTTCATATAATTAGAGGAGGCTGAGGAGCCTCTCACCTAGTGCATGCCTTGCACTGCATTAGGTGAGAGGCTCCTCAGCCTCCCCCAAAGCGCAGCACCGTCAGTTCTGGCGCCGAGTAGCCATTCAAAATATGCTGCCTGGCGCTGAGTGTCAGCTTGAGGTGGGTTTAGGGCTATGGCCACGAGGAAGCTCCATCCATACATGCATTGCTTACAGCTCCCTTACGTGACTGGAGTGACGTCACATTCTGGCTCCCGGCACCTCTACAGGGAGTGCAAGGGAGTTGTACAAGCAATGCATGTATGGCTGAAACTCCGTCTCAGCACAGCAGCCCACACTGAATCCCTAACATTTTTTGGGGAGTGTGTATTCGTGTGAGAGAAAGTCTGTGGTTGTGTGCGTCTGTCAGCGTTTTAATCGCAAAGTACCACAGAATGGTACCTACTGTTCGTTCTGCTGCAGGAGGTGCATTGATTTGCCATTCCTTTGAAAGCACCCCAAACGCACCTCCCGTCCACATTTTGATCGCTTGCACCGGAATATGCGGTAATGCAATGCTGTGCGTTTCAGTGTGTGTGTGACTTGGGTCATGACTTAAAGGAGAAATATGAGGTGAGTGCTTGCCAACCTGTGACACTCTCAGTAGATCGGGAGGTGAGCGAACATATACCGGCGTTCGCTCACCTCTCGATCCTGTCACGGCTCTCTGCCGTGACAGGGGAGGGGCTGGATTCCCCGATCCGCCAGCGCTGACTGGGGGAGGGGGCGGGTACAGCTGGCTCTGCCTCTAGATAGGCCGAGCCAGCTGTCACTCACGCAGCTGGGCGGATCCAGACATAATTGTCGCTGTAGCTCGCGGTATACTGCGCTTAGGGTGACGGCAGGACGCTAGTTTGTGTCCTCCCGTTACCCTAAGGAGAACTATGGGGAAAAGCCCTGACCCCATAGTTCTCCTTTAATGACCGAGGCCAAATGTGGGTCCTGTGGTTATACAGGTTGGGAACCAGTGCTTTAGAAGATAGGGAGAATTTGGGGACCTGTTACATGCGGCTAGTAAAAATCACTGATATTACTCCTTTTACAAGCTAATACTCCCAGTACAGACTGCTGGTGCCCCGCAACAAGTGCCGATGGGCTGCAGGCAGGGCACTCCCACTCCTATGGGAAAATACAGTAAATAAAAGTGATATGAGGTGAAGCAGTGCACTGTCATGATTCAAGAGTGAAGATTTAGATCATTACAAAAGTGCATTGGTTGGAAAAAGTGTGTGTGGGGAAAGGGTTAGTGTTTGGTTTTGGCCTATGCTTCTGCTTTGCACTGTACAAAATCATAGCTGTCCATTTAACGAAGCATTTTGCTCATTTTTCCTCTCTGTCCGTCCTCTTTCAGGTCTACAAACGAGCAAAAGCATTGGACCAATCTGACAACGACATGTCCGCCGTGTACAGGGCCTACATCCACTAGTCTCAACCGTTTCATTGTCCAGGATTTAATTATTATTTCGATACCTTGTTTTTAACACAACCATCTCTGTCTCCGACTCTTTCCCCAGACATTGTCCTTTGCTCTCTCTCTCTCCCTTCCCACCACCGGCACCCCAGTCCCCGTTCTTGTGAATCGTCAACACGTCTGCTCCTTTCCAGGCCGCACTGCCGGTGGAGGGGCGGGCGCTGGGTCCTTCCCAGCCTTGCACTAAAGGAGACAATTCATAAGAGAGCTTTCGGAGAGCGACGAGGACCCCTGTGACGCGCAGAACTCCCCCGTTGACCTAAACCTCAGTCGCTTTGCCAGCCTTTGGCGTTCCCCCGCTTTACTGCTGAAGGACAAATGGACGTTGACTTGTAGACACCAGCAAGAAGGCATGTCCTGCAGATGACTACTTTCTCTGAAGATTCTTTGCTTAGTTGTACAGTGCACAAGAATATTTTTTTTTGTTGTTTTTATTTTCTTTCCCTACCCTGTGCATCTCCATCACCTCCATCGCTGTAAGGGGTTTAATGGTTGGGCCTTTTGTCTGGTCAACGGTCTTCACCTAGAAGATTGAACCAGCCATTCCATAATAGTTACAGAATTGCTTGCTTGCATTGTGAAGTTCAGTGAAGAGGTTCTTTACCTGATATGACTTATTGTAATCAGACAAGTGAAAACTTGTGCACAGATGGTTCTTCATCTAGAAGACCTCCCCTCACATTAAGGTCTTATTCTCGCCAGGTGCGCTGAGCTGCATTGGTCAGCTAGGTCAACGCAGGCTTATTACAAGGTCACATAGAAGACAACTGTTCTCTATGTGTCCTGTTCACACCATACCAGTGCGTTGGCCTTCCTTTCATAAAAAATGCTAAATGTCTGCCTTTTTATCCAATGCAACACACAACTGTCATGCATAGAAGTAAATTATAAAAAAAAAAAGGTAATGCTGTCATGCGTTATTACAGCGCACGTTCTTACCACCAGAACGCGTGAACTGGCCCTTAATGTGCCTAAGGAAAAAGCATGCATTGAAGAGCTGGTGTCTTACTGGCTGACCCTCCAGAGTGTATTGGTTATGCAAATACATTCTAAAGATTGGGGCAGGGGTAGGTAACGCCTTATAGCTTAGTCAGGGCCAACCTTGGAGATGACCTGCCCATGGAAGAGGCAGAAAATGATGAAATAACCTCACATGGGTCTGCTGTACGTTTATTTTTTAGTAGGCTTGCAGCTTAAAAAAGAACTATAGGGTAAGTGTTTTTCTCCATAGTTCTCTTAAAGTGACATTAAACCCTCAGATTTGTTAACATAAACCAATAGTGTAATGTGTGCCTTACTGTAATCCATGGTTGTGTCCCTTCTCTTTGCTGCTCTTCCTTTTAAATCTGTCTCTCTTCTCATGCTGGGGGAGAACTTCCCTTTGCAGCTCAGGACCTCTTCCTGTAGTGCTGGCTCAGGTTGCAAACCTACACACAGACACCGTGTATCCATTCCTGAGACAAGGCAGTCTGCTGCAAAACAGAAGTTCTGCCCAGCATGAGAAGACATGAGGATTTAAAAGGAAGAGCAGCAAAGAGAAGGGAAACAATCATGGATTACAGTAAGGTGCACATTACAGTATTGTTTTATGTTAAAAAATCTGAGGGTTTAATGTCACTTTAAGGTTCCCCATAGCGTCCTCCCGTGACCCAAAGCTTAGTATATAGAGGGCTATTACCCACTTTCTACTGAGAGCACCACAGCCAGGACGGATCCCGATAATACTGTCAAGATCCGCCCAGCTGCGTGAGTGACAGCTGGCTCTGCCTATCTAGAGGTAGAGCCAGCTGTGCCCTCCCCTGTCCGTTCCTCCAGTCAGCGCTGGAGGGGAGGAGGGGGAATCCCTGCAGGTCAGTCACGGCTCTCTGCAGGGAAATGATCGAGAAGTGAGCGAGCGACGTTATGCGTTCGTTCACTTCATGATCTATAGAGCCGACGTGTGAGTTTCATTGTCACACGTCGGCTCCAACTATGAGGATGGTTGATTTTCACTCACCTCATAGTTCTCCTTTAGACCCATATGCCTGTAGGGTCACTGCTGGGGGCTGCCATTTTGTTAACGATCAAGCAGCCAAACTGCACTCCAGGACACGTGATGTTCGCTCCAGGAGGCAGGGCATCTTTCTGGCAGCTCAGGAGCCTGCGTGGCCATTGATAATTCGCACACTTCCCTTGCCTGCTTACAATAATAAATCAGTTTGTTTTTTTATCAGAAGATCCTCCTGTAAGCCATAAATTAACACGTTATCCACAGTCTAATCTTTCTGAGAATATATCAGGATAGCATCTTATAATGTCCACCTCTGCTTGGTTTTAAGATGTCGCACTTGCCGCGTTTTTTCTTTTTTTTTTCCCCCCCCACCCCCGATCCGTGCTAACCTGACCTCCGGGAGCCTGAAGTCATTTTCAGTGTTAATGGCAGCTAAAGATCTCTTCTCTTTAAAAAAAAAAATAATTTAAAAAAAGAGAAAAAAAAAAATTTGAAAATTATTTTCCTCTTCGCTGAATTAAACATTTTAAAAAAATATATAGGTTTTATTTATTTAATTTTTTATTAGATTTTTATTGTGCGCTTTTAGTTTTCGGGGCTTTTATTTCTTTTAATGGAAGAATGTGGATTCTGTTGGGTGCATTTCTTTTTGGTTTTGTTTTGCGATAAGCTAAGGACGACCAGGCCCGTGCGTTTAGTTTTTCACGGGGGTTACGGTTTTTTTTTCGGAATCGGCTGTGCACGATGCAGTATCGGATGCGGTATGTCTCCGTGTCCATTTTTCTTTTTTTTTTCTTCATTTCAGCCCTTGTGGCCAAGTGCGTCATCTCAAAACATTACCGTATATTTTTGGCTTAGATACAAGCTGCAAAACAAATGACTGAATTGCTCTAAAATGATGATCCAGCAAGCTACAGAATGATCCGAATCCTGTCATTTTATCATTTTTACCTCCATTGGCTTATGTGAACGCATGTCTGGCTCTGTCCAACCTTTTCCTGCCTTGCTTAAAGTGACCCGGGTGCTTTGTTCATGCAAGGTAGAGGAACATGGTGACCTAAGTTCCCCCCCAGCAGTACGTACTTACCTTTCCTTTCCCTCCCCTACTGTTCGGTTCAGCCGGTGGACCCAAAGGCCTGTGTAAGCGTCAAGCCAACTCGTCTGACCTTGCACATGGCTGAGGACTCTTCCCTGTCCCCATGTGAAGGCGCTGGGCCAATCACCAGGCAGGGAGTCGCATGTTCCTCTATAACCAGAAGGGCCAGGTATTCTAGTTCACTCAGCGGGGTGTAAAGGGAGGATGAGTATGTGTTGCTGGGGGGGGCGGGTGGCAAGTTAAAGCCCAACTGGCCCTTTAAAGATTGAGGGTGCAAAGGAGGCCGCTTTTTAGATCTTTTTTTAATTTTTTGGCTGTGAATTGTGCTCTAGCTCCCTTTGCAAAGTCTGTCCCTTGGCAGCAAGCTACAGAGCAAGACCCCTGCTTAATGTATGACAGCAGCAATCTCCCGGCAGCAAGCTACAGAGCAAGATCCCTGCTTAATGTATGACAGCAGCAATCTCCCGGCAGCAAGCTACAGAGCAAGACCCCTGCTTAATGTATGAGAGCAGCAATCTCCAAGCACTGGTCTAAGACAGACCCCCCCCCATGGGGTGTATCAGACAACAGCAGAGGGACTGCTGCTTTCCCTTGCGGATTAGCAGTCCCCTGCTGCTTGGGCATAGATGTTTTACCTGTTGCTGGAGAACACAAGGGCCCGTTCACAATTCTGACAGAGCATGTATCCGGTTGCACTGTGGCGCCATTCATTGTGCACTAGCACAGCGCACCCGCACCACAACGCAGCTTTGTAGTTCACTGCCGAAAAAACGGCGCATGTCTGTTTTTGGCTGCCAGAATGAATGGGGTGCTTTAGGGCGACGCACCTTTAACATACATTTAATATTAATGGGCCCTAAAACATTGACTTTGTTAATAAATGGGGGAACGATGAGGATGCCAGAGGAAAGTTATTTTGTATTGTGATCATTTAAAAAAAACCGCGCCTTTCTCTGCACCCTCTGCGTATCGTATTTTGTTTGAAAGGCCAGTTGCGCTTTTAAGTGACCCTGACCTGGTCCACCGCATGGATAAAAGCAGATGGTCACAGGAAAGGAAGCCTGCGCTGAGATGAATCCAGGCTCGGCCATTGCTGGACCTTTACTTTTGAACCAGTTTCACTTCTGCCACACGAGTATTTATTTAAAGGCGTATGTTGGGATTGCCGTAAGCTTTTATGTTGCTGACGTCGGGTTACAGCCTTGTTGTTTATTTCATTACGATAAGTCGTGTGTGTGTGCGCTATGCTGCAGTGTAGCATGAAGCACCCTCTCCTGCTGATTTTTTTTATAAGTAAATATTGCTTAAAGGGGTTTCCACAGCCAAGGTTCGTGAATTATGCTTTTTGTTTGTTTAATGTAAGTGATGAGATATATAATATAAATAATATAAACCTGATGGGCCAAAGCAAGGAAAGGATTTTCTGAGGGTCTGTTGCTTATAGCAACTCGCTTCTTCCTTCTCTTTTTCTGTCAACTTAGAAATGTAAGGGTTGCTGTGTACACAATGTGCAGGTTAGCACTCACATTGGTTGTGATAAGGCTCCCAGGCCTGCCGCTGATACCATCCAGCTGTTAGTGCTCACGTATCTGGGATCCACCGCTCCCAAACAGCCTCCCGCATATCTCATGATGTCGTGTTCCGCTTCTGTGGAAATAAAAATAGTTTTATTAAACTCTGGATACTCCACATGGTCCTCTCATGTGTTTCACCCCCTCCCCCAGTGGAGCTTAGAATTATAACTATAAGACTAAGTCACACCAGGAGGTGAAACACGTCCGAGAGAACCTGGATGGAGTGTCCTGGAATTGTTCCAGCAAAATCTCAGGACGCTCCATTCAGGTACTCTCTCTAATGTGTTTCACCCCCCTAGTGGAGCTTAGACTTAGAACTATAAGACTAAGCTCCACTAGAGGGTGAAACACGTCAGAGAGGGCCTAGATGGAGTTGCCTCAGATTGTGCTGGAACAATAAAGTTGTTTTTCTTTCCATGGAAGTTGGTGTGTGAGGAAATGAAACCGACTTGTTCTGGCACAATCTCCTCGCACACTGCTTCCATAGAAATAAAACCAACTTTATCGTTCCAGCACAATCTCAGGACACTCCCACTCGGTCCTCTCCTCTGATGTGTTTTACCCCCTGTGTGGAGATTAGACTTAGAACTATAAGGCTAAGCTCTACGAGGAGCAAATTAGGTCAGCCAGAGGACCTGGGTGGAGTGTCCTGAGATTGTGCTGGAACAATAAAGTCGGTTTTCTTTCCATGTAAGTGGTGTGTGAAACTGACTTGTTCTGGCACAATCTCCTCGCACACCGCGTCCAAGGAAATAAAACCAACCTCATTGTTCCAGCACAATCTTGGAAAACTTCAAACGGGTCCTCTCCTCTGATGTGTTTTTCCCCCTAGTGGAGCTTAGAGTTAGAACTTTAAGACTAAACTCCACTAGGGGGTGAAATACGTCAGCAAGAAGATCTGGGTGGAGTGTCCTGAAATTGTGCCAGAACAAAAAAGTTT